TAAAGATACTGAGAACAGAAGGCAATAATAATGAAAACTAATAACAAAAAAGAGGTATTTGACTTATGTCAGAGCCAACTTAACAACAGAGTCATCAGAACGGTTTAAGTCAGGGACTACCTGTAATCTTTACAGAAGCAGAGTACCACATCTTTCTCCCGCAAGCAGTTGGTGGGTTCAAACCACCGACCTGTCAGTTAGCAGCGCAGTACTTACCATGGAGCCACCAGGGCTCCCGAGCTGCACCAGGCACTGGATTTAGCATCAGCCCTGGATGGCATGAGGCTCAACAGTCCCCTCTGAACACCACCGAGAATTCAAACCAAGCCAGACTGCCTCCCTCCTGGCCCCAAATCTCTGACTTGAGAACATTATTTCCTATAATGAAGTTTATGTCTTGCTTCTGCAGGAGAGAAAGTTCATTATCACTCTCAGCCTTTGCTCAATTACATCCATGACACAGAGCTACTTTTCTTTGATGACACATTATTCTCCCTCCGTCATGCTTATGGGGCTCTCATTTATAAAAAGCTGTCTCCAATTTACTGGACCAGTAGAGGCTTTTAAAGAGTGGCATTCCTGGAATCACATTTCAGTTTAAATTTTAAAGTTAAAAAAAAAAGTTTAAGTGTGAGGCTTTATTGATGCTTATTTCCATATGCTTGCTTTGCAGCCCACCCACATCTAAATTGCCTCCTCAGCTACACAGACAGCCTGAGTGTGTGTTAACAGATCTTTCTTCTCCTGGCTTCATCTCCCTTTCTGCATCAATATTGGATCAGATGCCTGGAATGGAACCCAGGACTCCTGAACAGAAGGTGAGAATCCTACCACTGAACCACCACTGCCCTGGGGACAGCATGTTGTCGTTGTCGGGTGCTATTGAGTCAACGTCGACTCACAGCAACCCCATGTGAGACAGCAGAACTGCCCCCATAGGGTTTTCTTGGTGGTAATCTTTACAGGAGCAAACTGCAAGGTCTTTCTCCCACGGAGCTGATAGGTGGGTTTGAACCACCAGCCTTTTGGTTCACAGCCCAGCACTTAACCACTGCACCACCAGGGCTCCTTAGCTGCAGGTATCTGGCACTATTTTTCTCCTTTATTTTTTTTTTTTTTCAGGATGACACACAGCAAAAAGCCACGTGAGTGATTCACTTACAGATATTGACAAAATAAGGCAAACAAAAAAATTACAGCGAATTCAAGCACAACAATAATTCTTAAACTGCCATATGTGTTCACTGCACATCGACTGCAGTTGCCCACGACAGGGTCCAGAGAGAGAAAGCGTAAGAATGGTCATGATCTTTTTCTTCCTGAAACAAAATTAAATCATAACATGAGTCCTCATTAAGTCATGATGGCCGAAATTTCCATCTTGGTTATTACTGGGGCCTTCATTCCCCCTCCTTACATCAGGCACTTCCCTCCAAGGGTCCAGCAAAAGTGCCAGGAGGTTTATCCTAAGCAAAATATTCTAGAAGGGCCTTGCAATCTTCACACCACGTCAGCAATGGTGGCACCAAGGGGTAATTTTGATGTGTGGGGAGTTAATAGGTGATGGGGGCAGAGTAGTTGAGAGCTTGGCTGCTCACCAAAAAGTTGGCAGATCGAATCCACCAGCCACTCCTTGGAAACCCTATGGGGCAGTTCTACTCTGCCCTATACGGTCGCTATGAGTCAGAATCAACTTGATGGCAACAGGTTTATGTATATCTTACAGGAGTCCCAGTGGTGCAGTGGTTAAAGCACTTGGCTGCTAACCAAAAGGTCAGTGGTTCAAACCTACCAGCCACTCCACGGGAGAAAGTCTGCTTTCATAAAAATCACAGCCTTGAAAACCCTGTGGGGTAGTTCTACTATGTCCCACAGGGTAGCTATGAGTCGGAATCGACATGATGGCAATGGTGAGGGTATATATCTTAAATACATGTGTTATATATTATATGAATTATAAAATATTAAAATTTTAAGATGAGATAATATTTCAAAAAATACTTTCCCATCCAGGTGTCTAGTGTCCAACCATTCCCCTCCCCCCACACACACACACTCGGGACCCAGAGATGCAGCTCTGAGGGGTGGTAAAGAAGCACGAGGGGGATGCTAGTTCCATCACTCAGACACCCACCCACAGGTCTCAGTCCCCCCCCCCCAAGCTGGAGGAACCCTCTCCCCTTTCTTGCTCCTCCTGCTTGTCACCCCTCACAGGCACTGGCCTCTGTGGCTTTCTCCTTCCAAGACATCTGGAATATTCTCCTCTATTTACTTAAGCTTTTGCAAAAGACAGGGAGACAGGCTGCCTTCAAGCAACTTCCGATTTTAGCTCCTGGACACAGAAGCTGAAGACTGAAAACCTAGACATTACAAGAGACTGGACTTGACTACATAGAAAATAAACTTTTTTTGCATGGCAGGTGTCCATATATCAGTCTCAGAGTTAACAACAACAAAAAAAATAACCCTAAAAAAAATGCACAAAGGATATGGGATAGAAAATCTGCAGAAAAATAAATCCAAATGGGCAAGAAATGTGAAAAGATACTCAAATACATAAGCAGTCGAGTGCGGGAGGCAGAATAGTGGCCCCTGCAAAGATGCCCACATCCTCATCCACGGAACCTGTGAAGATGTCACGATACATGGCAACAGGGAGTTAAGGTTGCTAATCAGCTTAAAACAGGGAGATCATCCTGAGTTATAAGGAGCCTGGGTAGCACGAGCAGTTTGCAATCAACAGCTAACCTAAAGGCTGGCAGTCTGAAACCATCAGCAGTGCTGTGGAAGAAAGGCCTGCTTCCATAAAGATTGTTGTTGTTTTGGACAATCAAGTTGATTCTGACTCATAGCAACCCTACTGGACAGAGTAGAATGGTCCCATAGGGTTTCCTAGGCTGTAATCTTTATGGGAGCAGATTTCCAGGTCTTTTTTCCCACAGAGCAGCTGGTGGGTTCAAACCACCGACCTTTTGGTTAGTAGCTGAGTGCTTAACTATTGTGCCACCAGGACTCCTTATTCCATAAAGATTACAGCTAAGAAAACTCTATAATCTTGGGTTATACAGGTGAACCCAATGTAATCACAAAGGTTGTTAAAAGTGGAAAAGGGGCAACTGCAACTGGAAAGTTTAGATAGAAGCTTAGAGGGTAGTGAGTTTATGTTAACGAGGGAGGAACAATTCAGAAAAGGAGGATGAGAGTGGTTGCCCCACTTAAAGAATGAAATCAGTGTCACTGAATTGTACATATAGAAATTGTTGAACTGGTCTATGTTTTGCTGCGTATATTTTCAACAACAACAAAAAAAGATTTAAAAAAATTGGAAAAGAAAATTGTAAGAGAGAACCAGAGATATAGGCCAACGTTGCCAGCTTTGAAGCTGGAGGAAGGGGCCACGAGTCAAGGAAAGCAAGTGGCCTCCAGAAGCTGGAAAAGGCAAGGAAAGACACCATTCTCCCTAGAGTCTCCAGAAAGGAATGCACCCAGCTGACAACTTGATCTTAGCCTAGTGAGGTCCCTGTCAGTCTTCAGAGCTGTAAAATAATACAAGTGCATTGTTTTAAGCTATTAAGTATGTGCTAAATTGTCATAGCAATAACAGGAAATCAATATTGGAAATGTATATTAAAGTAATGAGATTGTACTTTACATCCATCAGACTAGAAAAAAGTTAAAAATTGGTATCATACCTATTGATGGTGGAGATGTGGAGGAAAAGACATTCTCATAGGTAAATGGGGAAGTGTTTGTAACTGCTTTTTAATAACTTAGCAATGTCTCTTAAAATAAAAAAAGATATCCCTGTCTACTCTAGAAATGCACCCCATAGAAACAGAAGCACCAGCTCACGGGGACATATGAAAAAGAATCATAACCATCTTGTTAGTGAAACAAAATTAAGGTATTTTAATAGGAGAGTGGCTGAATAAATTATTATGCTTTCCCACCAAAGAATGAATGAAAGTTATAATAAAAACCAAACCCACTGCCGTTGAATCAGTTCTGATTCATAACGACCCTACAGGACAGAGCAGAACTACCCCATAGGGTTTCCAAGGAGTAGCTGGTGGATTCAAACTGTCTACTTTTTGGTTAGCAGCCATAGCTTTTAACCACTGTGCCACTAGGGATCCCTGTAAAGTTTACAGCCTTTGAAACCCTATGGGGCAGTTCTACTCTGTCCTGTAAGGTCACTATGAGTTGGAATAGACTCCACGCAACTTTTTAAATATTTTTACGGGCATGGTTCCAACCGCGACCTTTCCACTTTTCGGTTAGCAGCCCAGCGCTTAACCATTGCTCCACCAGGGCTTCTCAGAGTACCGTTTAACGTTTTAAGAAACTGCCAAATTCTTTTCCAAAAGGGTTACACCACTTCACATTCACACCAACAGTGTTTGAGGGTCGTTTAGAGAACTTTTAACTAACATTAATCTTCATTCTCGTATTTCTTTTCTTCTTTGGAGCTAACGTAAACATTTATAAATTTTTCAGCTTTCGCCCATTTTTGCAGGCTGAAAAACTCACAGGCGAAAGCCCTAGGCCCACCCTTGTACCCGCAGAATAAAACATCCCGCCAACCACCCTCCGCAGTCTGGTAAACCGCACACTGAAAGGCCAAAGCCCCCTAAAGACAGACACTGCAAAGACCCACCTCACCTGCAGCACCCGAACGCCAAGCCGGGGGGCGGAGCCAAGGAGACTGCGGGCCTCTCCAGACCCGCCCACCTCGTGCAGGGCTCCAGCTCCGGAGGGGCGGGCCGATGGGCGGGGCCAAGGGTGGAGAGCGCGTCTCAGGCCTCGCCCACCTGCGTTTGGCTCCGACCTTGGATGGGAGGAACCGGTGGGCGGAGCGAAGGAGAGTGCGCGCGTCTCCTTCCTGCCCACACCGCGCTGGGCTCCGAAGGGGCGGACTGGTGGGCGGACCCAGGGCTGCGCTTGTCCTCGCCGTCCCGCCCGCGGCTCCCTGCTCCCGGCCCTGCACTTCTTCGCACACTATGGCCGGGCTGCTGGCGCTGCTGGGCCCGGCGGGCCGAGCGAGCGCCCGAGTCCGGCCTCGCGCCGCTTGGCTCCTGGGCGCCGCCGCGCCCTGCGCTCCGCCGCCCCTGGCCCTGCCCCTGCCCCTGCTCCGACCCGGGCCCGACGCCCGGCTGCTGCGCGCGGCCCATGGGGACAGCCGCGGCCGCCAGGTAAGCCGCTTCTGCCACAAGGAGAGCTCTGCGCTTCCAGCTCCCGAGACCGAGCACCTACAAGAGCCCCGGGGCCCCCAGCTCCCTACCAGCCGACTCAGTGGAAAGCTAGAGAAACTGAGGCTCAGTGAGGGGTGGTGATCTGCCCAAGTCACAGAGTCTGCAGTAGAGCCCAGGTTTCCAAAGCCTGGGCCAGTGCCATGGAGGGCGAGAGGCTTGTAGGCGGGGCCTGGGCTTGGGACCAAACAGCTTCCTCACGTGGCCCTCTGTGTTGTCCCCTTTTGAAGGCACTTTCAAGCCTCTGACAGTGTCAGGGAGAGCTTCCCAGGGGTGCTGCTCTGTCTTGAACGCCTCCCAGCACTTGTTGCTACTCCCTTTTTATCTGACTGAGGGAGCAGGCCCACCGTTCTGGTTCAGGCAAAACTAGGGCAGGACATCCATAGTGTTGTGTTATTTCGTTATTTTTCATATTTGGCCGTCCAAATAGGGTCAGTGAAAACCGGTTTTCATTCAGAATGGCAACACAAACTATCCTTTGAAAAAATAGCTATCACTTTTTTTTTTTTTTTTAAATGGCTCTTTTTAAAGAAAAATAGTAATAAATCGTGGTGCAGGTGGTCTGGAGCTAGAGCAAAAACCCTGCTGGTGGAAGGAGAACAAGGAGGGGGTGCAGTCCTGTACCGCGAGTCCCTGAAGCTTTGAGTACTGGGGTCCGTCTGCCTGGGTGTGGAACTCTGCCCTCTGTGCACCAGCGATGTGGCCTTAGACAAGCACTGAAGATCTCAAAGCCTGTCCTGTGACCTTTCAAAAACAGACCAAAACCAAACCCGCTGCTGTCAAGTCGATTTCATAGGGACCCTATAGGACAGAGTAGAACTGCCCCTTAGGGTTTCCAAGGCTGTAAATGTTTACAGAAGCAGACTGCGCCATCTTTCTCCCAGGGAGCGGCTGATGAGTTCTAACTGCAGACCTTTCAGTTAGCAGGCAAGCACTTTAACCTCTGCGCCACCAGGGTTCCTCCATGACCTTCCAGAGGGCTAAAAATAGCACCTTCTGGGGAAGGTTTTAGGGGACAGTTCCATGAGCTGGTGCAGGCCAGCTACTGAGCACATTGCCACACACCGAGCTAGTGCTTCCTGAATGTTCCATAGTTTCCTCCTGTGAAGGCAGGACCTCGTTGGTATTGTCCCCAGCCTGGACGTGGCGTGTGTGTGTGTGTGTTTGTGCATGTGTGTGTACACAGTAGTGAAGAGTGAGATCTCAGACTTCTCAGGTTTCCTTCTGGGCTCCTCTACTCACTGGTCTTGTGGCCTTGATCAGATACCCTCACCTTTCTGTGTCTCAGTTTCTTCATCTGTAAAATGGGATTTTAATCATGCACTGTTCACAGAGTGTGAGTATAAAATGAAGTAACGTGTGTGGCTGGCACCGAGTACAGCCCAAGTTAACATTAGCTATTATAGAGTAGCAGGCAGTGTATAAGGCCCCAGGGCCCCGGAGCTGTCCTTGTTTCCCCTGCTCTCTGGTAACTGGCACCATTGAGTCGATTCTGACTCATGGCCATCCTGTGTGTGTCAGAGTAAAACTGCGCCGTAGGATTTTCTATGGATGATTTTTTGGAAGTAGGTCACCAGACCTTTCTTCTGAGGTGCCTCTGGGCGGTCTTAAGCTACCGCCTTTCAGTTAGTAGCCAAGGGCATTAACTGTTTGCAGAATCCATGCCAGTGGGGTCAGTACCTACCATGAGGTTAGGACAAAAGATACTCCTCTCCCTGAGAACATAGGGCTCGGCAGGCCTGGGAGCAGATGGAGGGAGGGTCTGGGCTTTGCACAGAGCCCAGCACCTCCCATGCCAGCTGTTCTGACCGCCCTGGAGCATCCTGATTTCCATCATCGGGAAGTGGGATCGTCCAGTGCCCAGCTGGGGTCTCCACATGGGCCAGCATTTAATTCAGTGCCCCTCTGTCTTCAGCAGGGGGTTTCCGCTCTAACAAGGAGGGGCCTGCAAACGCTGGAGAAACCTGCCTCTTTCTGTCACTGTGCTTCAGTGTGGTGTAGAGCAGCCTGGCGGGCCATACTTCCCAGGCCGGGGACTGTGGGCAGATGCCGGCGGGCCATACTTCCCAGGCCGGGGACTGTGGGCAGATGCCGGCGGGCCATA